TAGAAAAGCCGAATTAAATCAGAACGAAATGATAAGTATTACTCAAAGATAGGAAGCAATATCTCAAATTTTTTCTTCATTTTTTTTTTTTTTTTTTTTTTTTTTTGATTGTATTAAAAATGGAACCGTCTTCTAAACTCTTATCTCAACTTTCATTCGGTATTAAGATATGTACGTACCTATGCAATGGAAGGGGCAGAAATTTTAAAAATTAGTTAAAATCCAAAAATATATATTTACACCAATCCTCCTTAGAATCTTTAAAAGAATTTTGAGAGTGTGGATCCGCCCCAAAGTGAAAAACAATCGATAATTTAACCTGATTAGGTTAAGATTTTATTAATTAATGCACAAAGAAACAAACTATTCGGCGCGACTTAAGAAAAGAGATCCAAATTCCTTTATCTAAATATGAGCAGAAACGAAGTCTACTTATACAAAAAATTTAAAATATCATCACAATAAATTCTTAAAAAAGCAATCAAATATGATGGAAAGGAAAGAAAACAGAACAACACGCACGTAATAAGGGAAACACATTAAAGCAAGAGAAAATAAAACACGAAAGACATAATAAAATATTTTTTATTTATTTGAACGCGGACTTGAAGATATTGAAATTTTTTTATACGCCCATTGAAAAATAATTCTAATGATGAAATTGTTATGACCTTGTGTTTGCTTATAAATCATGTTGTGCAAATTTTATGAATGAATTTTGGTTAACAAAAGAAAAACTTATTTCAACAAAGAATTTCTTTTAGATGTTGTGGATGTAGACATTTTATTTTTATTTTTTATTAATTTGATTTTATTTTCAAGAACTGGTGAAGAATTTAACCTTTTTTTTGAACAGTTTTTTTACTTCCCCGCATTTTTTAACGTATCATTATTTTCAAAATATACCAGCAATTACAGGTGATATTTTCCGTGGAAAGAAATATAAATAGTACACAAAAGGGATATGAGAAAATGCGTACACTCCCGTTTCATACAAAATTGAGAAACCATTTGGTCCAACGGTGCACAAGACAACATGAATGCACGGTAAAATGTCGGCATTCAAATTTCAATGGAAACCCTATTAAGTAACCTATGAAAGAATCAACCGATTTTTACCGTAGAATTTTCGATTTAATTGAACTTTGATGAAAATATTTGGTTTTTATTTTTTTAATAGAAAAAAAAAAAAAAGCAAATCAAAACAAAAGAGTTTAGGTTCACAGAAAATATACAGTCTTTAAAATAACTTGGAGAAACACTCATGCGTCACACAGTTTGACTAATTTCAAATAAGTATAAAAAGTGTGATATTTACAATAAATTTTCAAATGAATAATACAAAAAAAAAAAATGCAACCGTTAACTGCAAATGACCCTTGTGATCCAACACCAAAATTAATATCTAGCCTTGAGAAGATTTTATTTTTCCCTTTTGATTATAGGGATATTAATTGTTTCAAATGCAATGATAAATATTCGGAAACGCTCTTATTTTACCAAAAATATTGCAAGAGGTGCTTATTACGTTATATTAACGACGACGTAACCGATTATAAAAAATATTTGGATGTACATGCATACACGACGAATCCATTCACGCCAATCACCGTTCAAGAGTGGTGCTTTAAGCAAGTACCGACACGATATTTCGTCACTTATAACCCCAATAACTTCAATAATCACGACATCATTAAAAATAAGATGATCGAGAGTGAAAAGCATTGCAAGTTATGTGGAAAGTTGACTTATCGACGGATTCCTTCGAGGTTTATCGACTTTCGATTGTGTTCCGATTGTTATCTGATCTATTATGAGGTGATGTCCAATAAACGCACCCTAACTATTTACCTGCCGTGGTGGTTCAATTCCTACTGTTGTATCGCATGTAATCAAATATTAAGGTTTACGTCAGACTGTCAAAAGTATTGCGCGAGTTGTTATGTATTTTATACCGGATGCAGATATTGTTTAACTACAAACATTATTTTCGGATTGACAGATCAATCTCAATGTAAAAAATGCAAAAGAAATTTAAAGGTCATTATTGAGAACGCGAATATTAGTAGTGGGAATAGTAACCTGGACGAATTTCTTCGCAACTCTAAATTCTTTCAAATTGGCGAATATGTAAAAAATATTGATAAGAATTTCAATCCTTCTGATATATATGAATTTATCCATAGTAAGGTTTCCCCAAAATCCCTTATCAAGGTGATCCCATCATCACAAATCACAAAGTCAACTCAAATAGCACATGGTGGGTTTGGTATCGTATACCAGGCAATTTGGTCGGATAAAAAGTATCGTCATAGAAAATCTGATAAGATTGTTGCTGTAAAGAGAATCATAAATTCCCGAAATTCTATCGAAGAGTTTTTAAATGAAGTAAGTAAGTAAAGTTGTAAATATTTTTTTTTTTTTCTTACCTGAGAATCGATATTCTAATATACCGCTTCATATATAATCAAATATAGTTAAAGTCACATTATTATTGTTCTAAATTTTATCATGTAATCAGGTGCTATGGGATTACGAGAGATCCTGAAACAAAAGATTACATGTTGGTTATGAAATTTGCATCAGGAGGCGATTTACATAATTATCTAAAAAATTATTTTCATAACATCACATGGAACAGAAAGCTATATATTTTATATCAAATATCAATAGGGTACGTATCTTGTGCAATATTATGTTCAGTGAATCATTAAATTAAATTTTCTTTATTTTCAGGCTTGAAATTATTCACAACGCGAATTTGGTGCATCGAGATCTTCATAGCGGGAACATATTGTTTGTGAAATCCAATTATTCCAAAAATCAATGGCAAATCGGTGATTTAGGTTTATTAAAGCCTACAAATGATATTTTACCAGCTGATAATATATATGGTGTGATACCTTATATCGCTCCAGAAATATTTAGAAAGTTTCGATATTCTAAAGCGTCTGACATTTATAGTATGGCGATGATCATGTGGGAATTCACAACGGGTTGTAGACCTTTTGAAGACGTGGAGCACAATAATAAACTTACACTTGATATTCTTTACGGAATTCGTCCTGAGATTACAGAAGATACCCCTGAATTGTTTGCTGATTTAATGAAAAGTTGTTGGGACCCTTCTCCATCAAAAAGACCTTCTATAACAGAAATATGCAAGACATTGAGCCATTGGCATTCCGAAAATAAATACGCTGAAATTTTTAATCAGGCTGAAATAAAAAGACGTGAGTTAATAAGTACAAAGAAACTTACCAGCAAACCACATCCAGAAGCTATTTATACAAGTAGATCATTAAGTTCTTTTTAATGTATTGATCATCAAAATATTATTTAATTCTCCAAAGAAAAAAAAAAAAGGATTTAATATATTATATACATATTTATTTTATTAGAATAAATTTAAATTTCAAAAGAATTTATTTTATGTCTTGTCACCGTCTTTTGATTATATAAAGGTTAAGGTTAGCGTCCCGCGGTGACGGTGTAGATTTCTTATTTTTAAAATATAATAATAAACAAGCATGCTATTGATCTAATATGTAACCAAGTTGAGCTAGATATTAAATTATAATATTATTCCTTATTAAAAATTTTTACTTACATTTACACTATTTCTAAAAAAAATTTAATATTATAATTGTATGTTACAATATTAGTAATTTATTTATAGAATCACTATTTTCTGTCTTTTTTTTTTTTTTTTTGAAAGTAAATCAAATAGCATTTTTATATTACGGATGAAATTCGACGTACTTTTCGATGGGTCGGATTTAATTAAGATTAATTTTTAAAGGGGTATGGGATATTTATACAAACATCCAATATGTAACAGTTATTTACCGCGAAATCAGAGATATAATCAGGGATCCGTGATCTCTGTGAGATTGTAATTAACTAATATTTTCATGGTTATTAACGTCCGTGATAAAAAAGGAACCGACAATAAATAAACTTTTCTTAGTAATCTTTTCTTTCCCGTCACTCTAAAAATTTACACAATTTAATATTGTCCTAAGCTTCTAAATAATCCACATTTAACATCTAAAATATAGAAATTCAAAAAAAAAAATTTTATTTTATTAAAAATGAAAAATAAGAAAAAAGCAACGAAAAAACGGCTTAATAATTTCGATACATCGAAATAATGTTGCGTATGAAAATATATCAAGATTTCAAAATTCAAAAACAAGAAATTAATGGATTAATGCAACAAATAATTCCTCAAAATTTCATAGTATTTTACGCCCTAATAATAATATTTAGTGAATGCTGTTTTCAAAGATGTTTTTAACTAGGCTTTTTTTTTAGCCATGAATAGTTAAATAAAGCCTAGTTAAAAAAACATCTTGAGAAACGACATTCACTAAATATTTATTATAATTTCGAATTTGTTGATCAAATTTTTTTGTTTTTAGAATTTTGACGTAAATTTGGTATTTTATATTTTCGTCCTGCAACATTATTTCGATAATATCATGCATTTTTCGTTACTTTTTCTGTATTTTGTTATTTGATAAAATAAATTTACCGGAAGCTATACGAACGACTGCGCCAGCAAATAGTCTATGCAAGCTTTAAAGATTATACATTTAACTAACAGCTATTAAACTAACTTACAGTAATATCCTTCCTGATTAATTTTGATAGAATTTACGCGTTATCTCACAGATGTGTGAAAGGAATATGTTTACATTCCTTGCATGCTTGTCGTGAATTGTGGTCCTAAATGCTTGATATAAAGATTAACGCACGATCATAATGATTAACCATAACCTTGTTAACGCGCTGACAGGCTGTGAACCACTTCTAAGATCTACTCTTTTTAGAATATTGGCAAAGTTTCATGAAGTTTTGATGAAATATCTGATAAAACAGAAAAATGGCACATTATTTTATTCCGGAAAATTAAATATTTAATGACGTGTCAAAAAAAAAAATGTGCCGACGAAATGAGTATTTTTTTTTTTTACTTTTACAAGGCGATTACATGTATGGAAGAGGACATTGAAGATGTCGATATGAATGAATGTGCATCATGCTGGACGTAAGCATGCATTATAGTATTCATTCAGAAGTTGGAATTCTTTGTAGTTCGAATTCTTATTAAGTTTTCCTTATTTGAATTAGACTTTGTAATTGTAATCTGCAATTACCATACGATACTTAAAACGGTACTGTCAATTTGTTCAACAAAATTGGATTTGCAAATCATTATATAAGCATTGCAGGACAAAAAAAAAAAAACTATAACTCCAAATTTGAAAAATTTTAAAAATTATAAATCGTAATCGATTACTTTTATAACTTATGTTATCGTTACAAAATTTCGTAAAATCCATTCTATGGTTTCAAATGTATCATGTAAACTTGGACTTTTTGCAGATATTTGAAATTAACTAAATAAGTTAAACTCCTATTTATTTTATTTGTAAATTTTAAAAAAACACACGTCGTTCTATCCGATCGATGTTTCCTATCCTAAAATAGATTATTATATAATTATTTTTTTTTTTTTTTTTGTTTGATAATTAAGGATGTGAAATTTCAATTTTTTAATTTGCATGTGGACCGATAGGAAAGTACTAATACAAGATGAACCAACAAAGAACAGTTATGATCGATTACTTTTCTATATGTTCAGAAAATATAAATACCCTCTTGAAACTTGAAGTAAAAAAAAGTAAATTTATTTTTGTATTCACTCAAAAAATCCTTCTCAAAATAAAAAAAAAATTATACTAAAATAAAATTATTAAAAAAAAAATGAAATTCTCCGTTCTCCCTTTCATAATCACTTTATTGTTTTTAATTTCCGTGGTGTCAAGTTCACCACTTACATTTGATAAATCTATCATACGAGATGTCGATTCTGAATTGTAAGTAATCGTATATTTATTTTCTGTTTTAATTTGTACCATCATTAATTCCTTGTCAATCATATTAGGTTAACAAAACGTCGATGTTCAGGTAGAAATAGACGTTGTGGACCAAGTAATTCTTCTAATGATGATGGTGGTAGAAATAAAGGATTATTTAGAGGAATATTATAATAAAGGATTTTTAATTTACATTCAAAAAGTAACTTATTTTGTAAAGGAAGAATTTCCGTTCACACCAGTAGTTAATTATTGAATTGTTTTTGATCGTGCGAGTTAACTTTTAATATAGTAAATGAATTTAATTGATTCTTTTATTAATATTGAATCCTAGAGATAAATCTCTATTATTAATTACTATAACGATATTACGGTATTAAATAAACTAATATCATGTGATATATAAATATATAAATCTTGACATACAATGTTTTTAGAATTTGGGTTTATTGATACGTTTTAATAAAAAAAAAAAATTTATTAACACTTTTTAATGCATGCTGTCTTTGAAATTTATTAGCCAAAGGTATTCATTCACACATCCTTCAATTTTCTATCGACAAAAAATTTTTTATATCAACTTTTTTTTTATTTTTATCTATGGTTTTTAATACACGTCTTTTACTTTTGACATCCATGACGCAATATAAATTTCTCATATCTAACGTTTAAGTTATCAACCTATGCTGCGGCAACGAAAATGATAATTCCAGCTAAAGGGATGAACCGATCTAGCCTAAAAAATAAAACTAATCAAATAAATATAATTAATACTCAGAACTAATTACCAAAATAAGAAAAAAAAAAAAAAATAAGTCGAAAAAAATTTAGTCAACTTACCTTCGCCGCGGTGATGAACCGGGAAAGAGGATCGAAAATAACCTGAAAAAATAAAAATTGATAATTTATTAATAGAACAATTAAATAAAATAGGCCTTTATTGATTCATACAATTTTTTTTTTTTTTATTTTTTCATAATAATGAATCTAGTTTTTTGTTAAAAAAAAACGGGAATGCTAAATTGCAACACCAATAAAAGGATTGAATTTTGAAGATTATGAAGCTGAAAAAATTTTTTTTCGCAATACAATAAATAAAATTGATTAGAATGAATAAAAAATAAAGAGGTTATAAATACAAACAAATAACTCTGTAGCCAAATTCAAAACGTGGCACCCAAATTTTTGACAGAATTACAAAAATCAGAAAAGATACCGACTTTTTTTTTTAGATCATCTTATATTCATTAAAATTTAATATATAAGAATTTTTTTAGGTCAGAGGGATGAAAATCTTGTATAATTTCACCTTTAGTATCAGACGGGAAAGGGTGTAAAATCGAAAATTTTTTCAAAAATTTATTCCCTGAATGTAGATTTTAACTGATTCAAAACATTTATTAATTTAAAATTTTATTTTTTTGTCCCTTTTTGAAATAAATAAATAAAAATTTAAAATAATGAAAATCATTTCATAATAAATAAAAATGTGAATATCGCAAAAAGGAATTTGTGATTTTCTCAATTTTACGAATATGTTTAGTTTTTTTTTTTTTCCCTTGGCTTTATGAAAAGTTTTTAGATATAAATATAAAGCATGGATCAAATCAAAACTTCATCA